AAAAAAAAAAAAAAAAATTGCTGTGTGTATTTTTCTTTTGTTATTAATATCCTAAATGGCATTAAAATGTTTATAAATTTTAAATACAAACTGAAAACAAACCTCTTCCACTAACTTGACATTTTAATACAGAATTCATGATGCACAATTTTATAAGAATGAATCAGGAAATACCTAAACTATTTAGGTACACTGTACATTACAAAGGAGGTGGAAATCAGTTCATTTATTACCAATCTATTATAATGGTCTCTGAGTACTTTTTTAAAAGTTTATATTTAGTTCTTCTAATATGTGCAAACAAATCCCTGTGCATATATATATGTGATTCTTAGCCTTCCCACAGTGGTTTACATATCAGACAGAGAGGACAGTAATCTTTCATATTTTACCTTTTTTCTGGATCTTTTTGAAGGCACAATGAAATCATTTTTCTAAACGATTTTCCATATTTTTTTAACATTTCTTTATCTTGAACACCAGTTTCCAAAGAAGGAGGATCATTCTGCAGTGTCAGCATTAAAACCTGTAAGAATTTTCAATATAGTGTAAAATTCTGATGACTCAGTACAGCTTAATTAAGTAGTCTGGTCAAGAATTTTCAATATAGGCAAAACCCCTCCTCAAATACAAACAAGTTTTATTTTCTAAAAGTTCATATCTACATCAGTTTTTTAAAACCCAGAGTTATAAATAATATGCTATAAATTACTTGCCTGCAAAAGCCCACTATACCAGCAATGCTATGTCCTTTAGTTCCTTTGCTTTATCATGTCCCCTTCCCAAATTATTATAGTGACCAAACTATAGTTAAAGTTAAAACCACAGCAAAATTGAAAGTATGACCTTACTGACTATTCATACCCCTGCTTTTCCTTAATCCCTGGCAATCTGACCTTCTTTTCCTAGAACTTCTCAGAAATTTCTATTACAGAAATATCACTGATGTCCTAGTAAACGAAACTACATTCTTTTTCAGTCTGCTTTCTTCCTGTCTTCCTTGTAGCAGTTAACAATCTTGACTACTGCCCATTCTAAATCTCTTCCTTCTTGACTTTCATGACAACATAATAACTAGATACATAGAGAAATAAAGAATGGAGGTCATATTATGTGGTGGTATTCGGGTGATTTGTGTTTTCTTATACTGTCTTTTTAGTAAAAGCATATGTTATTTTCTAAATACAAAGTCACCACTCAAAACAAAAGGGGGGTTATAATCAGACTTACTACTTCCGCTTTTGATTCAATTTATATTTACTGAAATGGAATTAGTAAAGTTGACAGTGTTTCTCATTTTGAGCAAATAAGTTAACAGATACATATCTGGAGGAATAACAGCCTATAAGAAAGAAAAGTAAACCTCACCCTTCCCCCTTCATCACCACCATTTCACTAAAATCACTAACATCCTAAAATCACTCCCCCACTTTACAGTTATAAAAACTTATCTCTTCCAAAACCTTGTTGAGTATTCACCTATTCCTAAGAATCTTCACCTTCAAACGTACAGGTATATTCTGAATATGAAGTTAGAGAGAGGTTTTTCATAAAATTCTGTCACTGGTTTTATCCCTCTCTACAATGAGCCTTAAAAAAAGGACAAAATAACATCTTTTCTTCTTTTTTTCAGTGTTCAAGCAATTTATTAAATCAAGAAATCTCCACATTGTTGCACATACTGGCTTATTTAAAATTATAAAGACTTATCAGTCTTTATAAAGATATAGCTGAGCAGTAGTTTGACAAAGTCTAAAATTTCAACATTCAAAGAGCAAACACAGTAAAGGTCATGCAAGTTCTAGGATAGAAAATCGTGGCAGAACTTGCTCATCTTATCCTTTACCTTCAAATGAACATGATATCCACAACCAGAAAAAATCTGAAGACTAGCAGGTTGCCACTAGTCAGACACACAGTTTATTCAGTAATATTAAGCCTCTTCCCACTCACTGGCTTGTTTGATTGGAAATAACTCAACTCTAACCATAGAAAGGAATTTGGGAAGAGATAACTGCTGTAAGATGTGTGCCTTTTATTCATATTTTGCCTTAAGTCACTGAGCTTCCATAAAAAGTCTGTACACATGATACCCAAGAAATCCCCAGCTATGACTTTTTACCTACCTACACTAAATATCAGTCCAAGATAAAACACTGTGAAGATTAAAGAGACTGAGTACTGAAACAAGTGAGGCTGCAATCATCTAGGACAGTCTACTATAACTTAGGTAAGTGATACTGCATCTGAGAACCTAAGAGACTCTATGGATTTTTTCTTAGGTGGCAGTTTTGAACTGCCCTATGTCAAACAGCTAATTACCCGGTTTATAAAGAAGGCTGACTAGGAAACAAAGTCTTTATTCACATGTGTTCCAATTTATTTGTTCATATCTGCATTTAACTTTTAACCACTACATACCAGGATCAGCAGACATGATTAAAGATTTTTTGCAAGCTTCACCTCCTGACATCCTTTACTCCCCCCTCCCCCAAACTCCTATACGAGTTCCCCCTGCTTTAAGCCAAAATGTCAATTTTGGATTAAAACATGCCTGAACTAAGTATATAGGAGATAACATGGAAACAAGGGTATAAAATTAAATTTATCTGTCAATAGCAAACACCATAAATGTATGCTACTATCCTGTTAAATGGACAACCTGGAGAAACCACAATGGTAACACCCACATTAACTTTTTAAAAACCTAAAGGAAGTAATTTGATTTTACAGTGGTTTAATTTACACAAATGTTTAATGACCATAAATTTTTCTGCAACTAAAAGAGAATTGTAGGAAGTTGAGAATACATGTTTGATATTAATGATCTTCAAGCTTTGAAGATGTCATTGCATGAAGAAAGTTATGGGAAACACTGTTCTCATTAATTATGTACACCCTTAGTGTAACATATGGAGATCATTGTCTCTGATATAGACACTGCGGTAGACAAAAATTACCTTGTTCTTTATACATTATGGAAGACACTGCTCCCAATAATGTGTTAGGTTTGTGACAGAGGTACTGGAAATTTTACAAAACTGGAATTAAAGTCACACCTTAAATAAACTGAACTATGAAATTTTGTATAAGTACTCCCATAGTCTTAAGTGACATGTATTTATAACTTGGTCACAATTCAACAAATTTGGGAGAACTATCATTCTTATCCAGTCAGCTAAATATAAGTCTAACATGATTAGAAACCCTGAATTAAATTTAGTTCTTCTCCAATACTTAGCTTTCTAATTTGGCTGTTTTCTAAAACCCTCAAGTGTTGACCATAAATGCAAAACTTCCAGTATCTACTGGGTTTTATTAGCAGATGCTATTTTTATTTAAAAAAAAAAAAGCAACAGTATAACTGGCATAATTAAGGAAGGCACTGTTTCCAATAATTATAGAATAACATCTTTTTCTAAGGTTCTAAAATACACTAAAATAATACAGATGTAAATAATACCAATATGACAACAATTCACAATGGTCACCATCATTTTAAACAAACTAATGGGGCAGCCTGTTAAGTGGGACAGAAGAGTTATAAACAACAACTACAGTTACAAACACAACAGAATTCATGTATATATTATAACAAAGAGGATAGTCACACAGATAAAAAGGGTTACCAGACTGGGCACAATGGCTCACACCTACAATTCTTACATTCTGGGAGGCTGAGCCAGGCTGATCACTTGAGCTCAGGAGTTCGAGACCAGCCTGAACAAATTGAGATCCCTGTCAATACTAAAAATAGAAAAAATTAGCCAGAGATTATGGTAGGCACCTTTAACCCTTGCTACTTGGGAGGCTGAGGCAAGAAGATTTAGCCTGAGCCCAGGAGGTTGTTATGAGCTAGGTTGACGCCACAGCACTCTAGCCTGGGGCAACACAGTGTGATTCTCTGGTGGAAAAAAAAAGGTTTCCAATAGTATCAGTGGCACCATCCTGAAACACAAAAATTCATTCAGTTACTCATGCTGGGGATAGGATTAGTGACCACATTACAATAGAGTATAACAGACCAGTTAATAAAAGTTGCTTAGTGCTTTATCACAAAGCAAATTTTAATTTTTGCTTAATTCATAATGAGAATAATAATATGTCTGGCACATGTACATTTTACACTGACTTACTTGTTTGATATATAAAAAGCAATAAAATGGTGCCTGGCACAGGTAAGTTCTCAATAAATATTAGCTATAATTACTCTTAATATGTAGTCCTTCCAACAACCTTATAAAGAAGAAATGAACATCATCCCCACTGAGGCTGTTCTACATAGGTGACTGTAGAATACAAACATTAAAATGAGATATTCATCCTTACTATTAAATTATAATAGTAACAGGCGTGGCACCTGTAGAACAGTGGTTATGACGCCAGCCACATGCACTGAGGCTGGCAGGTTCGACCCTGGCCTGGGCAAGCTAAACCATAATGACAACTGCAACAACAACCAAAAAAACAGCCAGGCGTTATAGCAAGCACCTATAGTCCCAACCTACTTGAGAGGCTGAGGCAAAATAATTGCTTAAACTCAGGAGTCTGAGGTTGCTGTGAGCTGTGACACGACAACACTCTACTGAGGGCAACAAAGTGAGACCCTGTCTCAAAATAAAAAAAAAAAAAACATATATAATAGTAATAGAGTCAGGAGATGAACAGACATTACATAAATAAAAAGGTCAATTACAGTACAAAGTCCTCCAGGGCTAAACACCCAAATATCTAATACAGACTTTAACTGCTACAGGAGTCTGAAGGAATGCAAGGCAGAAAACTATAGGGAAGAAGATCCTGGGAAAATGGGAAAATAGTAGAATAGGAAGTAGTCAACCCTCAGTGCCATGGAGGACTGGTTCCAGGACCTCCATGGTTACAAAATCCAGACACTCCAAGTACTTGATATAAAATGACATAGTATTTGCATATAACCAACACATAGCCTTCCATCATCTCTATATTACTTATAGCACCTAATATAATTGCTATGTAAATAGTTACTATTCTATTTTTTAAAATATGTTATTTTTGTGGTTGTATTTTTTTATGGTTTTTCTTTCTTTTTTTGAGTATTTTCAATCCGCAGTTGGTTAAATCCATGCATTTAGAACCCATGTATAGGGAGGGCTGACTGTACCAAGAATCTCTTTCCTCACCTAGACAACTGCACTGGCACAATTTTAAGTAAATATTTTGGAATTCTAGAGTCCACTGAAGCTTGCAACTACCAGAGAAAGATTGAACAAATTGCAAATTGTGACTAATTTTGGTCAATTTTAGGTGCTAGTGAGTAGTAGCTATTTATCTCCAACTTCCAAACCTGTGCCAGGTAGCTGTATACCTGTTACAGAAGCAACTTGTAGGAACAGGAGCTGAGGTCTCCAAATATTGGGAATCAGTGTTCTAATCACTAACTGCTACTTCTGATCACAGAAGTACAAAGAGACCAGCAGCCATTATTACTGTTGCTCCCACTCTCACTGCTGGATGATTCTTTCCCTTTGGCTGGTGTGACTTCCA